CCACACTTGCACTCTATTTCCTCACTTTGCACAACTATTCCACTATTTCGCACTCCAGTTTTACATTTTGGATCACTATTTCACCACTTTGCACTGTAGTTCCTCGCTTTTTAATATTATTTCAATACTTTGCATTCTTGTTTCACACTTGCATCGCTATTCCGCTACTTTGAACTCTAGTTCCAAACATTGAACCACTACTCCACCACTTCGCACTCTAATTCCTCATTTTCTACTGCTATTCCACTACTTTGCTCTCTAGTTTTACACTTTGCACCACTACTCCACCACTTTGCACCCAAATTTCTCACTTTGCACTATTATTCCGCAACTTTGCATTCTCATTTCGCACTTTGTTCAACTACTCTACATCTCTGCACTATAATTCTTCTCTTTGCACTAATATTCCACTATTTTGCACACTTGTTTCCACTTTTCACCACTATTATACACTCTACTACCACTTTGCACTCCAATTTTTCATTTTGCACTACTATTCTCCTACATTTTGCACTCGAATTCCTCGCTTTTCACAACTTTTCCACTACTTTGCACTGTAGTTGCACACTTTACATTACTATTCCACTACTTTACAATCTAGTTTCGCTTATTGCACCAATATTCCACTTCTTCCCTCTCTATTTTTAACAATTGGCTCCACTGTTCCACTACTTTGCACTCTAGTTTCCACTTTTCACCACTACTCTGCTAATTCCTTACTTTCCACTTCTATTCCACTACTTTGCTTTTCGTCCACACTTTGCACCACTACTCCACCACTTTGCACTCTAGTTCCTCACTTTGCACTAATATTCCACTGCTTTGCACTTTAGTTTCAAACTTTGCACCACTATTCGACTACTTTGCACTACAGATACACAATTTGCACCACTATTTCACCACTATTTCACTTCTTTCCTGTCTATTTTCACACTTTGCACCACTACTCCACCACTTTGCACTCTAGGTCCTCACTTTGCACAACTTTTCCATTACTTTGCACTGTAGTTTCGCGCTTTGCACCACCATTCCACTACTTTGCACTCTAGTTTCCCACTTTGCACCACTATTCCACTACTTTGCACTCTAGTTTCCCACTTTGCACTACTATTCCACTACTTTTTACTCTAGTTTCACACTTTGCACCACTATTCAACTACTTTGCACACTACTTTCACACTTTGCACCACTATTCAACTACTTTGCACACTAGTTTCACTTTTTTCACCGCTATTTCACTTTTTTGCTTCCTATTTTCGCATTTGTTTACACTATTCCACTGCCTTGCACTCTTGTTTCGCACTTTGCACCACTAGTCCACGATTGTGCACACTAGTTTCCCACTTTGCGCCACTAATCCACCACTTTGCACATTAATTTTTCACTTTGCACAAACATTCCAATGCTTTGCACTGTAGTTTCACACTTTGAACCACTACTCCATCCTTTGTACACTAATGCCTCACTTTGCACACTATTATGCTACTTCTCACTTTGCACACAAATGAATCTACCAACTTTGCAATTGTTTTTCATAACTTTGTAAGCAATTTGTCTTCGATTTTTCGGTTCGCTGTTGTGATAATTTATATATGTGGCATTTTCTAGATATTTACTTCATGGTTTCGAAATTTAACTGCGGGATTAGTATGATAATGACGTAGGTCATATATACAATCAACTCCACCAACTTTTCCATCGCTCTTTTCCAACTTTGCACGCTGTTTTCTAACTTTTTTTAGTCAGCTCCAGTGACAATCTGCTAATATAAGCTGCTTTCATCTGGCTTTTATTCATTTTTTCGATTTTACAACTGCGGGGTTTAGGACAAATATACAAATACATCTACCAACCTTGCAATTACTTTGAACAACTTAGCAATTACTTTGTACAATTTTGCCCAGCTTTTTACTTATTCATTTTTTCTCGACTTTACAGCTGCGGGGTTTTATATGCCAACAACGTAGGTCAAATAAACATATACCTACAAAATTTGCTCAACTTTGCATGGTTTCTTAAAACCCACTACGTCTTTACATAATCAAAAACATGTACTTTGAAAATTAGAAGAAATATGCAAACTTTCCATGAATTTTAAAAAAATACGAAAATTACATGATTCTCTACTATAAATGATTGACATCACAGTAAGAAAGAATGCACGAACAAACGTTGCCTTATATCTTTTTAATGTGTGTGATGCAACCAAACGAAAAAACTCCAACAGTGTGTTTACTCGTACAGTCTCGTATGAAATCATTAACCACGCCCAATTGAGCTTTACTTTAGACCTCGATCAATCACCTAACCACACTGCTGCACAAGTAATTTGAAATTGATCCGAATGGTCGCTATTTCATGTTTGGAAATGTTTTTAACTTAATATCGTATGCACACGTAACTTCTTCAATCGAACTTTTAACTACGGGACTTGTTAATATAACATCATATATACAACCAACTCCTCCAACTTTTCAATCGCTTTTTCCAAATTTGCACGCTGATTTCTAACATTTTACAGTCAGATCATGTGACAATCTGCTAATATAAGCTGCTTTCATCTGGCTTTTATTCATTTTTTCGATTTTACAACTGCGGGGTTTAGGACAAATATACAAATACATCTACCAACCTTGCAACTTTGCAATTTGTACAATTTTGCCCAGCTTTGCACGATGGTTAACAGCTTTAATTTACACGAAACTTGCAAAGAAGTACTACAGAAATTCCACGTAATCTCATTAAATTTGCATATATAATTTACATTTTTTCACTTAACTTTATAAACTTTGCACGCAACTTTCCAGGCTTTGCTCCACTTACTTTGGCATGCTTTGCCTGTAACTTTACTTGTTTTGCACGCAAACCTGAAACGTAGTTCTTTCACGTAAATTTACCAACTTTACATGTAACATGCAGACATAGTCATACAGACTTTCAAAATATCTTTCCTAACTTTACATGTTACTTTGCTGTTTTTCCACAAAACTACCAAATTTGGTGGCAACTTTGCAGACATTCAATAACTTTGCACAAAATTTCGCATTTGTATCAGAACAATAAAGACTTTCCAGTGTAATTTTACCAACTGTGCACAAATTTAACAACTATTTCGCAAGTTTGTGCAGATTTTCTATGTAACATCAACAACATTGCATGCAGACTTGCAACTTAGCACTATAGAATTTCCAAATAACTTTGTTCGCTAATACTCTTACTATGTTAATTTACCAACTTTGCACGCTACTCTACTGACTGGCAATACATATTTTTCACGTAACTTCACCAACTGTACATGCACATTGACAGAATGCAGGGTTTCAGAGTAACTTAGCAATAGAGACTTTAAATGTAAGATTGCAAACTTTGTACATAATTTTCCACGTAGGTGTGTATTCACACAATGTCTTTGTTATAAGCATACAACTTTAATGTAAACTGTTGGTACAACCAGTGATTTAACTACAGCTTTTATTGTGCCATCAAATAATGTTGGTTTGCTAAAACCACATGAAACAGTTTAAACATTGAGTAGATAGAAGCACAAACAAGCAAATAACCGATCCAACTCCATAGAAGTAACACCACCTAACATGACAAAAACACCCAAGTTCTGTAATACTAAGGCTTTTGGAATTCACTGGTGATAGGCACATTCACATCAGACAACATGACTCAATCCCAGTTGAATCAAGTTTAATTCTCTACATATACAAATTACTCAAAATCGTGATCTGCCAATGCACCCAGTTAAAACATAAGTGTACAGAGCAAGTGGATAGGCCCTGCTGTGGGTCTATGTAATCAGAGATGTTCGTTTCAATCAATAGTGATGCTGCCAACAAAGTACAAGGCAGACAAGACAGCATTTCTCATCTCACTTGACAGACTGCTTGAATAAATGTGCATGATCAGTGTAATGCGAGTTATTAATTACAGTATATATGTATGTTTGTATGTATGTATCAAGCAGATGAAAACAGTCGTTGAAAAGCAAGAAAACTTAGAGTGAATTGAAGGCAGGCCAGGTAGAATAATACTAAATTTAACTACACACCAATCACTCTCACTCTGAATGAGAACTCTTGGAGTTGAGCTGGTAAAGATTGAAGTAGTTTTGTTGTATTTTCCCCAAAAAGATCCCCTGGTAGTAGTGCTTTGACTGCATGCTCAGGCAGAAATGCAATGTGCTCTTCCAATGGGAGCTTACCAATTTCAACACGAGGTGGCTTGGGTGAATAATATGTCAAAATCAATACATCAACAATCAAGCAAGCCTTTTGTTTAATAACCTTCATTCATTCATTTATGAAGATTGGCAAGCAAAAAATGACAACAGTACACTTTCAAAACTCTCTTAACTTAGGATTTGGTGCTAGTTATGGAGTAGGTTTCTTGCTTTTCAAGACAGATGTAGTGGAAACAATGACTTTTGCCTACATTAGATCTGGGTGATCAGACAGATGGATACTTGTGTCCAGTTACATAGAGTAGCTTTTTGCACCAATTTTCAAGAATAAGATTAAACAAGATTAAACAAGTTAAGAGAAATTAAACAATTTACGCAGCTTGTTAGAGTCTGTGTTTTATTACCCAAAAGCAGTAAAAAGCACTTTGTGTATTATCCAACTAAAATTCTTAAAGCTGAGCAAGCTTGAGATGTGAATACATATGCTAACAAAAATAGGACTTTAAATGTTGCACAAAACAATGAATACAGAAGAAGACATTACCAAGATGTAACTAGGTAATTCCTAGGATAATTTGAATGCATCAAAGAATATGCAAACAAGTCAAAGTAAATATTTAATGCACATCATATCCAGAACAAAACTCATGTTTGTGCTTTCCACTAGAAGTGTGTTTTGGATTGTTGGAAAATCTATGTTAAACACAAATCTCACACATAGGTAACACATGGGTATTTCTCATTCTCAGAAAAGATTCTGAGCTGAAGATTAATCAACAGAAAAAAAACACATGCAACTGTACACGAATCTAGTGAAGTCATGACATTTATTACATAACATTTATAGCCAGTAATAGTACAAGCTCATATTGATAAGTTTACTTTGTATCAGTTTGTTGCATGAAATAATTAAAATGATAATATATGAAGGATGAACAAACACTGAAACAATCAATTATATGTACCGGGTAGTATTCATCACAGAACTTTAGACATTATGCTAGCATTGAAGCTAGATTCTTGGAAAAATTGTAAAAACATTAATCACAGTGAAAATTAGGTCAAATACAGCATCATCCAAACATTATATATTTCGTTGTATTCTCACAAAACAAGGCAGTGTCTGTATTAGTGTATTCACAGTGCAGTAACAACCACTACCATTTTCCTCTCTTTGACCAATCCTTTGGCTGCCAGTGTAAACTTTTCGGATCAATTCGAATTTTTCTCTTTGACATGACACGTTCGTGACTATCCACAATTTCCTTGCATAGTGTTACTATATATTGTCCTTTATAGTAGTTTATAAGATTTAAATGTTGTAACGTTGATATCACGTCTTCTTTTCGAACACTAGTCATCTCACATATCTCACTGTAATGACAAGAGTGTTAAGACATATATTTGAATTATCAAAAATAGATGGTGATACAATTATAATAGGATTTTAATTACATGAAGAACAGGAAACTTGCACACATTTTGGATTGGCAGTTTGGGATGCACTGCCCATTAAGTATGTTATAATGAGCCAAGAACATAACGTAACTATTACAACCTTATCCATTTTAGAACCTAGATTAAATAACAAATGTATGGATGGTTAACAAACTAACAATGAATTTTTTTCAAGATCTCTTAACAGAAACAAATCATAATGGTTTTGTTAGAACAATTCTTACAATTGTGGGCACACATTGGGTATTGTTGATTCATGTGCAGTCATATTTTTAGCGTTCATGCGTTGTCCTTAAGTTATCGTCTGATAATTGGATAGCTTATGGTACTGATCAACCAATGAGAATGACCCTTGCAGCACACTGTTTATATTATTCAATATTTTTATTCTTGTAGCAGACAACAAGCTACAACAATTATGCATACATTCTGTTATTTAAACAAAGATGTTCTGATCGCCAATTACAGAACCGCAGGCCTGTATCCTATACAGTTGAAAAGGTACTTAACAAATAACTGAACACATTATTTTTCAATATTTTTGGAAATGAACCCTACTCACTTAATAGTCATCTGTGGTCTCTCTCCATTTTCATCCTTCAGGTCTACTAAGATCTCAAGAATTGCCTGCGACCAATAACTTCTATATGACAGCAACCCTAAATCAGACAGTGGTTTCTCTGGAGAGCCTGTTTTACCTTCAAACTTTGACAATAAATAACCTAGAAAATCAAGAAGGGTGAATGTTGGCTTTATATGATTGACACATGTAAAATGAATTGTTTGTTTACACAAAACTTAACACTTTGTAAGCATGGATGTCTCTTACACTTGGATAACAAAATAAAATAACCAATCAGGTTCATACCTTTTACGTAATGCCAATCAATCCTGAGAGTGGTTGTGATGAACTTATTATGTGTTATTATACATCTGTCACGGTAATGCCATAAGTTACAGCATGTCACACGTTTGCGGTATTTTACAGGGTATATTCATCTTACCATATTAGGGAATGCGAATTCCAAATATGGAATGATTGCGAGCGTAAGCGTCCTCTAATAACAAACATGGCTGCCACCAGGGTTTGACCAGATTTCTGCATTCCCTTGTAATAAGGTTATTACAAGGATACCGTATGCACTCAGACTTAGGCGAGGGTTCTCCGAACCTGCCTATTCACATAGTTCATACCCACCATAGACTCTGGTCAGTCAAAATGACTATTTTGAACTGTAGGCATTAATCAGTGATTCTGCCGGTGACGGAGAGATAGAATCTAGGTCAGGGGAAACTCCATGACCCCAAGAATCTTTTTTCCTTACTTCACGAACCAAGTGACCGAGCCCAAATGTCAACGCCATAGACGGCTGTACAATCACTCTGGTTCCTTTCTCCGCATCGAGGACTT